GATAGTATTATGTTTTGTGTCACCTCCGAAAGCCCCCTGTCGTCTGTTCGGTCGCACTGGCGTGACGGACTAAGTGTCGGTTTTATTTAAATGATCGCTATCATTGGTCGTCACGTGATCTCCGCTGCATGCAACTGCCGATGTCATTAGCTTCGCAACTTCGCGCCGACCAGAAATGCTCAATTATAACCATGGCGGCCCGCGTGAATTGGCCCAAATACGTATGTTATTAAAACCACCGGGCGTCAGTCGGCACGCTATCTCTTGTTTACACGCGCTGCAGCACGCAGGGCCACCTAGCCGCCGCCTCCATCACGGCCAGCATACAGAAGACGGCAGGGAGGGGGGGGGGGGGGGGGCGCCAGTGATTCGGGATGTGATGAACGAGTGGTCATGATATTCGGCTTCCATGTGGAGGGCCCAGGTTCGCATCCTGGTTGCGCCTCGCATCCTCTAGGCGCAGAGGACAGATGACGACGGTCGGCTAGTGCACGCCGAGAGGAAAGTTCGTCGGACCTACCGCCGAGCGCCGGTCCTCCGGTCCTCCCCACTCAGACGGCTCCCCTGCGCCGGTCCTCCCATTCAGGCGGCTCCTCGATGCCGGCCCTCTCCGCCCAAACGGCTACTGCTCCCCGGCGCCGGTCCTCCCGCTCAGACCGCTCCCCGCCACCGGCCCTCCCGCTCAGGCGGCTCCCGGCCGCCGGTCCTCCCGCTCAGACGGCTCCCCGGCGCCGGTCCTCCCCACTCAGACGGCCCCTGGCGCCGCTCCTCCCCACTCAGACGGCTCCCCGGCGCCGGTCCTCCCGCTCAGACGGCTCCCCGGCGCCGGTCCTCCGCACTCAGACGGCTCCCTGGCGCCTGATGCGCTGCTGGCTGCCTGTCGTGGGGATGGACCGTTCCGCACGAGTGACGCGTCGCTATCGGCGCCCGCCCTCTGTGTCATGCTCAGCTCGCGTCATGCCGCCCGGCTTAGGAGAGAGCGCCAGGGTCGCAGGATATGCTAACCGCATTTGAGAGCCTCGGCCGAATTTGAGGCCCCGGCGGTAATCGGACACGTTTAAAACAGGGAGAGCGACGTCGGGGCTTCCGGTGGGACCGGAGAGGTCGGCGCTGGGCGGCGTGTCACAGATGACGGACGGGACGGGACGGGCGCTTGTCCGGTGGGACCGGAGAGGTCGGCGCTGGGCGGCGCGTCACAGATGACGGACGGGACGGGACGGGCGCTTGTCCGGTGGGACCGGAGAGGTCGGCGCTGGGCGGCGCGTCACAGATGACGGACGGGACGGGACGGGCGCTTGTCCGGTGGGACCGGAGAGGTCGGCGCTGGGCGGCGCGTCACAGATGACGGACGGGACGCGCTTGTCGCGCTGCTCCTGCGGTAGTAAGCCCCGGGCGCGAGCCTTTGACGACGGGGCCCGCACGCGGATGATGTCAGCTCCGTTGCCAGCCGGTATCCGGCGGCCTTGGCGACCCGGGCCGGCCACTCAGAGCCCTGACGTGAGGCTGGAGCGTAGGGAGTCGGCGCGGATGGGTGACAGGCAAACTGGTGTGTTCCTTCGTACAGACTGTGTGGGACTCGTCTCAGCCCACTTTTGGCATCATGGCACCCAGGAGCGTCCTCTGATGAGTCGCTGTAGCACCCATGAGTGTCCTCTGATGGACCGCTGTGGCACCCATGAGTGTCCTCTGATGGACCGCTGTGGCACCCATGAGTGTCCTCTGATCGGGCCGCTGTAGCACCCATGAGTGTCCTCTGATGGACCGCTGTGGCGCCCATGAGTGTCCTCTGATGGGCCGCTGTGGCAGCCCATGAGTGTCCTCTGAGCCGTTGTGGCGCTCATGGATGTCTGAGGAGCCAGCCATGAGTGTCGTTGGAGCCTCACAGATGACCGCCCTCGGCTTCGGGAAGGAGAGACGAGGTGGTGAGCAGGGAGGGAAAACCCTGGCGCCATGGTGAGGCGACGGCACACACTCCATCCTCGTAGTGCATCACCCCTGACTAACCGCACATTGGTACGGGCCCCGGGTCCACGCCGGCTGGTGTCCTCTGGGCCCGGTCCAGAGCGCTGTGTCCGCCGTAAGGCCCTGGGACCGACGTGTCCCTGTGGCCGCGCTCTCTGCTGAGGGGGTGTGCTGGGCGCGGCGGCCGCTTCGTCTCGCGGTGGCGCTCCGAGAGCCCGCAGCCATTGTTCTCCGGCGAGCACACCATTGTGCCATGCCGACCCGGTGGACGGCCGTGCCGCCAAATGGCCGATTGTTGGCCTCTGGCCGGAGAGCGGCCCGGAAGCCGTCTGTATTCGGCTGCCGCGCCGAGCCGAAACACTGAACTGGACGGCGGCAGCTGAGGCAGGGGACCGGCGCTGCCGAGCGGTCCGGCCTGGCTCCGGCCTGGCTGCCGAGCGATCCGCCGGTCCGGCTTGGCTGCCGGGCGGTCCGCCGGTCCGGCCTGGCTGCCGAGCGGTCCGCCGCCTCGGCCTGGCTGCCGGACGGTCCGCCGGTCCGGCCTGGCTGCCGAGCAGTCCGTCGCCTCGACCTGGCTGCCGGACGGTCCGCCGGTTCGGCCTGGCTGCCGAGCAGTCCGCCGCCTCGGCCCGGCTGCCGGACGGTCCGCCGGTCCGGCCTGGCTGCTGCATTGCGCGGCCCCGGCGCCGCCGCCTGCCGCACACCTGTGGCCGAGTGCGGCGGGCGCCGCGCGGCCCGGCCGGCCGCCTCTGTTCTCTAACGAGCGGCGTCGGCACGATTACAGAGGTCGGGCCGAGACGGCCGGCCGGCCGGGCGGCGTCCACACCTGCTGCTGCCCCCGCCCGGCAGCTGCCTGCCGCCCGGGGCAGCTGCCGCCGGCTAACGGGCGCACGCACGCGCCGACACACACGGGACGGCTCGGGCCGGGACGCGGGTGCTCTCGCTGCTCTCGGGGCACAGCGGACCACTCCAGCTGGATGGCCGATGGTCGTCATCGGTGTGGCGGGTCCCGGGATTTCGGTGGAGCGATGGGAACAGGCGGTGAAATCATCGGGTGAGGAAACGAACGGGCGAGGCAGCCACGCAATCCACCCACCAGCCAGCTAACCAACCAACCATCCAATCAGTAACCAGCTAAGAGCAGTAAGAGGTGTCGGCGGTTTGTCGGCGCCGCCACAGCCGACGCGTGGTCGTGCGATCGGACGGGTTGTCTCGGCGGCGGCCGTCTCTGAGACCGTGCACTGCCGGGTCTGCACCGCACCGCCTCCGTCACGCCCCTGACCTGGGCGGCCCACCGCCGGCCAGCGCGCCCGTCCCGGGTCGGGACAGCTGGGCTCGGGCGGCACTTCGCAGCTCCGTCGCTCCTCGCACCCACACGCCCGCGGGGGAGCCGCCAGCAGCCGCTTCCCGTTTCGTTCCTCTGCCGGTCCTGAGGCCACGGTCTGGGCACAGTCACCGAGTCAGGCTGCATCGATCGGCGCGACGCACCGACTCCTGACTCAGCCAGCTGCCGCCGGCGCGTCACGTGACCGGCGGCCGGGCGGCCGGGCGGCGTCACGTGACGGCCAGGTGTTCGGGCCGGTGTATGGAGACCGGCTGCCACGGAGTAAATAGCCGCGTGGCCGACCGGCCGGCCCAGTCAGGCTGCCTTTCAATGGCACTCCGGTCGAGAACGGCCTGGCGCCGGCCGGCCGGCGGGTAGGCGGACACGGACATAGCCGAGCGCGGACACAGACAAAGCCGAGCGCGGGCACAGATTGTGACGGACACTCTCCGAGCACGGATGGAGCGTAACGCGGGCGGATGTTGACACGGACACAGCCGGGTGTCGGCGGGACCTGGGACGCGGGCCGGCCGCCGACCGCCCGGTGCCCGTGGCTAGGAGCGGAACCTGACTCACCGCGTCCGACGACAGTCAGTCATGACGGCTGGCCGGCTGGCGACGACGGCTGGCCGGGACCGCGATCGACCGTTCGGTGCCGAAGCCAAGTGCCAAAATGAGCCCCCGCCCCCGCCGTCGTCCCCCAAAATGAGACGTGTCGCTTCGTTCCAGTGCGGGTAGGGAACAACTCCAGTCCATGGCACCCCACGCCGGTAGTCGCCCTTTGCAAGTGTTGCCAGGGTTGCCAACAAGAAGCCTAGTGCCGCTCGGCGCTTCGGGATGTCCGCGGCTACGAGGCAAATTTTGACGTGTCAAATTGACGCGGTGGGCAAACGGTCGAACGCGTCGGCCGTCAGCAGAGTCGCGCTCCCTCTGGGAAGCCTCCATCATCGCGGGACGCACTCTGAGCGGCGAGCGGGCCGGCCTGCGTCGCGTCAGTCGTCGGCTCGGCCCTGGCCCCGGCCTCGGCCGGCCCTTTGTCCGGCCGCGGTGGCCGGCCGGGCCGACACGGGCCTCGCGCCGGGCGGGCCCGGGACGCGGCTGCCCCGGCCGCCAGCCGCCGCGGCAGTCCGCCTCGCCGGTCGACGCCCGCCTCTTTAAAGCCATAAACGTGCCGGGCGGCGCGACCGACCGTCGACACCGCCACCCGCGCGCGCGCGCGCGCCACCGCCGCCGGCCGTTGTTTACAAACGGGTGACGTCACCGTTTACTACGACGCTCGGGGCGGCCCGTCTGGCTGCGCGTCCGCCGACGCAGGCCGGCCGCGCCTGCCATCTCTTGGCGGCGCGCGGAACTACTCCGATGGCGCGATCGATCTGGGTCCGTGTCGCCACCGAACTTTCTCATGGCCGTTCGGTCGGCAGCGGAAAGTCTGTATTTGGCTCAGCGATGATTGGTGACGTAAGATTAACTGAAACGACCTGGATAAGGACTCAGTGAGTTGCGTGGACAGGTTATTGATTATTGCCAACTTACAAAACTCCTTTACAAGACATTACTGTTTCCTGAGGTCGTCCCCAACTGGGAGCGGCTTTTGATGGCCGCGTCTTGGGATTATTTTTGCTCTGGAGTGGTCACGTACAGCGAGATTCGGGGTGCGGCTTTTCCTGGGCTAGCCACGACCCTGGCGGAAATAAGCTCGCCGAGGCCTGGGCAAAGGGTAGGCCGGCGCTCACCGCGGCCAGACTCGGCGCCCACCGCGGCTGTGCCCCGGACCGCTGCAGCCGTCCCCGGCCGGTGCTGACCTCGCCGTGTCTGGCCGGCTCTGACCTCGCCGTGGCTGTGTGTTGCAGGTGCCCAGAGGAGAGCGCAGCCGCGGCGCCGCTGTCCACGCCGGCATCGCCAGAACGGTCAGTGGCGCGTCCCCCACCGCTCACCCGGTGTCGGGTCATGTCATCGGACCGCTCTCCCGGTGTCGGGTCATGTCATCGGACCGCTCACCCGGTGTCGGGTCATGTCACCGGACCGTTCATCCAATGACAAAGCCGTCTGGCTCGGCTCACTCGGTCGGGGTCGGGTGGTGCTTTAGTCTCACTCGGTCGGACTCGGGTGGTGCTTCAGTCTCACTCAGCCGGGGTCGGGTGGTGCTTAAGTCTCACTCGGTAGGATTCGGGTGGTGCTTTAGTCTCACTCGGTCGGGCTCGGGTGGTGCTTCAGTCTCACTCGGCCGGGGTCGGGTGGTGCTTCACCAACCGTCATCTGCCACTGCTCGGCTATCTCAATTTACAAGTACATCTTCGCGCGCCTGCACTTGCAAAGGCCGCACAAGGGAACACCACATTTATTTAAGCTACCAGAAAATGCAATCTAGTTAACCACGACGCTTTGTGTTTTTCATGCATTTCATGCGGAGAGCGTGCCTGGTTTTGATTAGCCCTCTCACACAGTTCCCTCGGCGTATTTATCCCACTGATACCGTTCCCTAGCCGGCATAATCACATAATCTGCTGATGCATTCGATCAGCACGCCCCGTCTCCCAGCGTATTTGCTCTCCGTTGATTGGTGAGCAGGGGGACCTTCGTGCGCTTCGCTGCCCTCCAAATGTCGTTTGTAAAGCCCGGAAAGCATTCAAGGCCTTCAAGCATATGACGATGAAGTAACGTGGTGCATGGAAGCCACATGTCCGATCATGTGAAGGTAGCGTCCTTCCCCTGAACAAAATCAGCTCTTAACAGCGTATAAAGCTCAAGTCGACCTCATTTAGTCAGGGTAGAGGCTACGAATGAGGATTGGCTGAGTACTCATCGACATCTATATTAGCCACTTGCCACATGCTATCACTGTACAAAACACCACAGAGTGCACCTGAGTCATCTGTTGCATGCGATTAACATTTGATGCTGATTGAAAGTCAAGCATAAAATCAGCTGAAGGCTGTTTAGAGCGCTCCCATGTCACGGCCAGCCCCGTGATGTGACCTCGGCGTCCTTGGAGGCCGGCGGCGAGTATCGCGGGCGCCCAAGCCCAAGACTTCAGGCCCCGGTCCCTTTCAAATGTCTGAATAGCGTGCCTGTGTTGAAAAAGAGACGACAGACTCGAGGGTAGGATTTACGACAAAAACACAAGCAGCCACCATTCAGCTGGTGGCTGCTTGCGTTTATCTTGTGTATCTCTTGTACCCCCCCGTAACTTATTCGCACGTCCTTAAGTCCAATCAACCACCTTAAGCAAAGCGCGAGTATGTGTGTTGGTAGTGGTGACTAGCAAATACGGTGGGAAATTTTGTGAGAACGATAATTTTGAATTGTTTTTCTGACCTGCTGAAAAATTGAAAACAGCTCTGTCTTCCGAATGGCACGCACCTTTTCTAAGTACACCGGTCCGCACACGTGCGGTTCAATTCCGACCGGAAAGATAGACACAGACGTCATCCGATGTCTTTTCATTCCGCGAGAGTTTTTTTATTAAATTTATTTATTCTGTACAGGCATTCGCGTTTTGCGTTTTGTTCGTATATGAACGCATGTTTTATTTACGTGATCTCCTTGTTGTCCTGACGATATGTCCCTCCACAGTTCCTGACCCGACCTGAAAGCATGTGCAAATAACACTCCGTTAATCCAACATGGCGCCAGCCGGTAGCCAGTGTGTGGAGCTGGCAGTACCATGCTGGCTGCATGGCCCACCCAACGAGCTGAGCACCGATGTCGTCTGTCTCTGGACTGACCTATTGTATCCTGACCTGTTCCGATCCGCCTCTTGTGCTGACGTGACCTTTGCTGCCGCTGTGACCTGACCCGACCCAGCACCGTGAACTGGCCTGACGCACCAGCGTGACCTGACCCGACCCAGCACCATGGCCTGGCCCGACACACCAGCATGAACTGACCCGACTCAGCACCGTGACCTGGTCCGATACACCAGCGTGACCTGACCCGACCCAGCACGATGGCCTGGCCCAACACACCAGCGTGAACTGGCCCGACACACCAGCGTGAACTGGCCCGACCCAGCACCGTGGCCTGGCCCGACACACCAGCGTGAACTGGCCCGACTCAGCAACGTGACCTGGTCCGACACACCAACGTGACTTGACCCGACCCAGCACCGTGACCTGGCTCGACACACCAGGGTGACCTCTCGCGGTCATTCGCAGGCGCCCGGAGGACCTGTATTCGGCGGCTCCATGTCGCTGCCTGCCTCCCAGGCACCACCGCCGCCGCCGCCGCCTCCGCCGCACCCGCCGTCATCGTTCGGGGCTGGGCCGCCGCCCTGGTCGGCGCCGGCGCAGAACGGCGCTGGACAGTGGACGGGCCAGCCGTACCCGCAGCTGTCGACGGCGCCGGCGCCGGCCGCCGGCGCCCACTTCTACGACAGTCGCGTGCAGTACCAGTACCCGCAGACGGCCGGCGCCGCCTTCTACGCCGGCTCCGGCGTCGAGGACCACTTCGCCGACCCGTTCTCGAGCCAGAACGGCGGCGCGACGCTGGGCGCGGCCTACCCGCCTCTGCCGGACCCGGCGGCCGGTCGAGCCAACGGCGCTGGCAACGGCTACAGCCCCGGCCCCAGCTACATCGTCAGCAACGGCGCCGAGAAGGGCTCGCACCTGCTGATCCCGGTGTCGAACACGGCCGCCGTGCTGGCCAAGCCGTCGCCGCTGGGCGGCAGCGCCGGCCTCTCGCGGCCCGGACTCATGGTCTCTACCACCATCACGCCGCTTAGCCACGCGCAGCAAATGACGACGTCTTTAAACTACCAGGTCAGTGGGTCTCCGGCCGCCGCCGACCGGCCGCTGCCGTCTGGCTGGCGCCGGCTTCGTTGTTGGTTTGTCTGTCGCCACAGGGGCAGCGACTCCCCGTGGAGGCAGGAGCGAGCACAGCTTCAGGTCTGATTCCTGGTGTCTTCCAGGAGCAGACAAACAAGTGTATTTCCTTGCCTGCACCGCACCTGAGCAAAAGCGATGATCGGTTGCGTTATGTCGGTTACATGTGTTGAATGGTGATCTCTGTAGGGCTGGGGACTGAGTAGCTGGTCGTGACTTGCGCTCAGCTGAGACCCCAGCATCTGCGTTCAGCTGAGACCCCAGCGTCTGTGCTCAGCTGAGACCCCAGCGTCTGTGCTCAGCTGAGACCCCAGCGTCTCTGCTCAGCTGAGACCCAGCGTCTGTGCTCAGCTGAGACCCAGCGTCTGCACTCAGCTGAGACCCCAGTATCTGCTCCCAGCTGAGACCCAGCGTCTGTGGTGCCCCCCGCTTCCGAACTCAGCGTATCGGCTGCACGGCCTGCTGACGGCTGCCGTGTGTTCTCCGCTCGCTCCTGACGGCCGCCGTGTTCTCCTGTGCCGCAGCCTGGCCACCATCTGTACTCCCGCCGGTCGAGCAGCTCACACAGCTCTAGCTCGGCCGCCCGGTGCCCAGGCGATACCAGCGGAGGTGCCGGCGCGCTCGTCTACCCCATGGACCCGCCGCCGCCACTCACAGTACATGACAAACTCAAGCTCAAGATCTACGAGCGCCAGCAGAAGGCGCCGCCGGCCAAGCCCGGCAGCTCGCCGCAAACGGTGACGCACTCGCCGCATCAAGTGGCGCACTCGCCGCACCAGGTGCCGCACTCGCCGCACCAGGTGCCGCACTCGCCGCACCAAATGCCGCACTCGCCACATTCGTCGCACCAGGTGGCGCTGTCGCCGCGGCAGGTCTCCCAGTCGCCCCATCCCGTGCCGCAGTCGCCACACCGCATGACGCAGTCGCCTCATCACGTGCCGCAGTCGCCCCATCACGTGCCGCAGTCGCCCCACCACATGCCGCAGTCGCCCTTACAACAGGTGAGCCGACAGAGCGGCGGCGGCGGAGATGGGACCTGTTTCAGTAACAAGTCACCTGGCTTAAACGGTTAGAAAGGGCAAAGGATGCCAGTCAAGGGAACGAGAGAGTCGGCGCTGCATTTGGCGGTGTTGCGTTGTGTTTATCTGGTACACTGTACTGCCCGGCAGATGTCACTGCTGTATTCTCCTGCGAGCCCGGTTTTGTGGATGGTTCCTAGATGTCGTTGTCGTTTCTTCAGATGGTGCATTCGCCGCACGGCCTGCCACCAAGTCCGCACGCATTCGGCCAGCTGCCTGCATCTCCACTGCAACAGCAGCAGCAACAACAACAACAGCAGCAACAGCAACAGCAGCAACAGCAACAGCAGCAGCAGCAGCAACAGCAACAGCAACAGCAGCAGCAACAACAACAGCAGCAGCAGCAGCAGCAGCAGCAGCAGCAGCAGCAGCAGCGGAGCCAGGCGCTCAGTCCGCAGATATACAGCATGCCGACGCCGCTGGAGCAGAAGCCGCCGGCCGAGCTGGAGCCGTTCGAGGGGTTCGGCTCGCTGGGCGCCGAGCCGGGCTCGTACCAGGTGACGGGCAACATCTTCCAGACGGGCCTGGGCTTCGGCGAGCCGGGCGTGGGCTCCAGCCTGTGCAGCGACCGGGTGAGCAGCTCCGGCCAGCGGCTGGAGCCGGCCGACCAGCTGGGCGACGCTCTCCTGCCGCCCGACACCGACGAGCAGCCTTTTTTAGCCCTTAGGACTGCAGGAGCCGAGCGGCGACGCTCGCGTGGGGGCCCTGCAGTCCTGGACGCCCTTCCATCACCCACTGGCGTCGCTTCTGGCGCACCGACGCCGTTTGGAGTCACCTCTGACACACTGACGTCACCGGCAGTCATCTCTGGCGCACTGGCACTGCTCGAAGACATCGCTGGCGCATTGACGCCACCGGCAGACATCACTGGCGCACTGACGCCATCGGCAGACATCGCTGGCGCACTGACGCCACCGGCAGACATCGCTGGCGCACTGATACTGCCTGGAGTCAGCTGTAGCGCACTGACACCGCCTGGACTCTCCTCTGATGCCCCATTGGCGCCGGCCGGCGACTGCCGTGAGGCGCTCCTGACGCCCGCGCTCGACCCGCACCCAGCTCCAGCTCCAGCTCCAGCTCCAGCTCCACCTCAGCAGGCTGGCACGGCGACGCTGGCCGAGAACGACAGCGAGGCCTCTCAGAACAACTCGCCACCAGGGAACCAGCCACTCGGCCGTCTCGGTAAGTGAAGGGTGCCGGCGTGCGACAGCCTCTCGTGCTTGTGAGCTGGTGTGGCCTGACCCAGCCAGCGCGGCGCTGGTCTGTCAAACGAGACGGGGCTGTCACCCCGTGATGCGAACGCTTCAGGCAACAGCGTCCCGCCCGCTCGTAACGTTTTGGGGGTGCGTGACGTGTCATATCTCCTGACTGACGTCGCCGCCGGCCCGCCCTCAGTGATCGGGGTGGTGGCGACGGTCGGTCAGGGGAGGGGGGCTGCCTGTTCCGCCGCCCGGCCCGGCCCGGCCCGGCCCACCGCTGCAGTTACAGGGCGCGGCGCCGGCTGGCGTCAGGTCGGGGAGGGTCCGGTGAAAGTGGGCTGGGGCGTGGCCTTCCCGTCCGGCGCTGACGACTGCGTCGAAAGAGGCTCGCTACTGGCGCAGGCCTCTGGTAGCTCAGTTGGTAGAGCGGTGGACTGTAGTGGCTGGTGGCAGGCATCCATAGGTCGCTGGTTCAAATCCGGCCCGGAGGACGTTTTGCGTGGCTGTCTGTGGCAAGAAATGTCACCCATGTGTCAGCACATGGTAACACAAAGACCACTGGACAATGTTGCTTTGCAGAATGAGTCGGCTGTCACGCCGCCGATTGTTGTCAGTCATGTCATGTCATGTCTTGTCATGTCATGTTGCCTGTCACGTACGCGGGACGCTGTGCTGCTACCGTCTGTTGCGCCGGTGCAGTGGTGATTCCAAGCCATCCCATCGGCAGCCTCAGCTGCCGATGTTCAAAAACTTGATCAAAGGCTCTACTGGATGCGCTGTGGCGCCCGCCAGTGGTTGCGTTATTGCGGAGTGCGCGCTCGGTGGTCCGCACAGCGTAGTAACGTAAAACTGACCTTGCCGCATGACGTCACCAATGGGACGCGGGTACGTCACGGGCCCGTTATCAGGTCTGAGCGAGCCGTTTCCGGCCGACGTGGCGTGGTTTGGGGGCGGCTATGGCCAGTCACTGGCGTCTGTCTGCGCAAATGAGCTGGGATTTGGCAGGGGTAGCCTGCTGAGATGGCGCCAAGCCGTCCTGTTAGCGGCGGCGTGTGTTATGTGTAGCGCAGGAGAGAGGTAAACGTTTTGGGTCGTTCATATACATGCCCACTCGGTAAAAGTCCTCCGGGCCGGATTTGAACCAGCGACCTATGGATGCCTGTGCAATGCCTCTACAGTCCACCGCTCTACCAACTGAGCTACCAGAGGAGGTGGCGTGGGGTCGATGCTTGTGTCGAAAGGGTCGGCCAACGGACTTCGTTTGTGTTGTCTCTTTGATGACGTTGTCTGGCACGACCAGCCGGGGCCGGCGGCGTCCGCCCACTTCGCCGACCCGGGGCCCCAGCTGCACTGACGGCCGCCGCCTGCCGCACTGCCGAGTCCTGACCCCTCTGGTGAGGCGGCGCTCCTGACCGCACCTGGCCGGCGCTGTGGGCTCGCTCCTGGTGTGCGTTCGGGTCTGTGACGCCAGACCACGTCCACAGGTAGCCAGCCGGCGGCCCTCTCGCCGCCAGCCGGGAGCCAACGCCAGCTGACGACGACCGGGGGTGGCCCGGAGAGCGAGGTGAGTCGCCGTCACGCCCCCTCCCCCCGCGCTCGCCCCGCCCGGCCTGGCGCTGGCAGCACGCGGAAGCGTCACACTTGGCCGCTGTCCCATCGGTCGACACGTCCGAATACGCGCGGATCGGCTGGACGCAGCTCTGCTGTGAGCCCGGCGTGTTGATTGGGTCGGTGGCGCCGGTACGGTGCTCTGGTGTTTTGAGCCCAGCGTGTGGATTGGGCCGGTGGGCCTGTACAGTGTTACGATGTTTCGAGAGCCCAGCGTGCGGATTGGGCCGGTGGGCCTGTACAGTGTTACGATGTTTCGAGAGCCCAGCGTGCGGATTGGGCCGGTGGGCCTGTACGGTGTTGCGATGTTTCGAGAGCCCAGCGTGCGGATTGGGCCGGTGGACCGGTGCGGTGTTGCGGTGTTGAGGCTGGTACGGCGCTGAGCCCGAAGCTCGGACCGGGACGGGATGCCGTGGCGCGGCCGGACAGACCACCTGACCCCGACCCGTTCCTGCAGGCGGCCGTGTACGAGGGGGCGCGCTCCTCTACAACGCTGGAGCTGTGTGAGACGCAGACGCAGATGGAGTCTCAGTGGACGAGGCTCGTGTCGCCGCCACACCCCTGCGCCGGGGGCCGGCCACAGGCCAAGTGAGTGTGAGGTCACGCCTGCCGTGTCGTCACGTGCGTGACGTCACAGGTGGCTCGGCACCAGCGTCTGCGGCTGGGGCTGGCAGGCGCGGGGCTGGGACTCTGGGGCCGAGGGGGGGGGGGGGGCTGAGGCCAGGACCAGGGATGGCTAGCGCAGGGCCTCGCCGCAGCCGAGGCGTTGCCGGTAAATGTCTGGTGACGCGCCCAGATATTTCAGGGCTTTCAGCTTGTAACGTGTAGCACTTAACGCCTGCATTTCTTCCAAAGTGCAACGTGATCGTTAAATGTTGTTTGTGCTTCTGAGCCAGCTCTAAAACGAAGACAATGCGTTTGTTTCCTGCACGCGGTGGTCACGGCTGTGTTCCGATTTTCAGGCGCGATGCAGCGAACGCGACGGACACCCTCGAAGCTGAAGGCATCATCACATGGTCTGAACCGAAGAGGCCCCGACTCAGCGCGCCGTCACCGCTGCCGCCGCCTGCCGTCCTGAGTTCTCCTCCCCCCGGGGAGACACGGCAGGCGTCGCCCCCACCCCACCAGCAGCTATCCATAACCCAGCCGCTCACGCGCCACCAGCCGCCCACAACCCGGCCGTTGGTGACGTCACCGCCGTGGCCACCGGACCCGCGGGTCGCCGCCGCCGGCCGCGCGTGGGATGTTGACCACCGGTCGTCTTTCACGGAATCTCAGGGAGTTTACGGTCTGCCCGTGGACCATACTAGTCAGGACGGCGGCGGCGGCGGCGACGGCGGCGCGGCAGCTCGTGGGCCGGCCAAGCGGCCGGGCTGCGGCGGCCCCCCCGGCGTGCCGGGCTCGACGCGGGCCACGCCGCAGGCGGACGGCGACGCCCGCGCGCTGTGACGTTGCGGCGGGGTTAGCGGCACCTGCCGACCGGATCTCACCTGTCGACGAGCTTCTGTTGCTCATCGGCACTCGCCGTGGCCGCGTGACGTTCCTCAGTTTGTTCATCGTCTGTCTGCGGGCTGGATGGCATGAGGGCTCGACGCCCTCCGGCGCCCGACGCGTCGGGCGCCCGTCTGCACGACGCGATCGCCCCCCTTTTTTGTACCTGCAAGTGAGCCATGAGGTGGTCTGACAGGTCCTAGTGGCCGCCCTGCCCCTCAGGCCGTCAGCCGGTACGCTCTCACCTGTCCTGTCGGAGGAACTCTGTCGGCTGGCGGTGTGGATCTGACGCGCGCTAGGTCCGCCCCGCCATGAGCAATCTGGCGCGATGTACGGGCCGATCCCAGGCCATACCGACTACTGTTCAGTCGTCGCATCTGTTCTCGTCCACCGAGTACGCGGCAGCGCCTCCTCGCTCACCAACGACCACGCCCGACAGGGTGTTATGCACTGATGAGGTGGATAGCTGTGAGCGACGCACTGTGCCCTATTAGACGAAATACGGATCAAATCGACTGGGCGCCACCGACCAACCGGCTGGGGCTTCTGCTCAAACGATGTCTCATCTACACCCGCGAATCATGCCGACACGTTTTGTCGTGAAATTGTGCTCAGACCGGTGCGCGAGTGTCGGCAGCGCTTCGCCACTTCGTTGGCTCGTTACCAGCCCGGTTTATCTCGGCCTAGCCCCTCCCTGTGTTGTGCGTGTTAAACGTGTACTGATCTCCGCGCAGAGCTGAGAGCATAATCTGTCCGAGCGAGGACGGCCCCCGGCGGTCGATATTATTTAATTGCGCGTGCGTCCACTCGTCCGAGGTCCGAACGCGTCGGGCTCGGCGAGTCTGTACCATAGTTTTGTACTGTATTTTTGTACGCTCTGTACATAGGCGAGGCGCGTGGGGGCGCAGGCACCAATAGCTGTGGGCGTACAAGTATTTTTCATGGTCCATCCCGTCTCATTATCACAGAGTGGCTCCTTGATTTGTCGTGGGCGGCGCGCTGACCGAGGGCGCCGTGAGCCGGCGGCGCCCGCCTCAGACCGGCCGCGTGGGCGCGTGTGACTGCTCTTGGCGGGTGGGCCACTGTGAGGCCGTGGTCTGGTCGCGGTTCACTCGTGTTCGGCATGACTGATGGTGTAGCGCGCGCGCTGGGGCCTTCGCCACTGACAGCGACGCGTGCTGGCCGCCAGCGGCCGCCTCGGTGGGGGGGGGGGGGGGGGGGGGGGGGGGGCGTACAGCGGCCAGCGGCCACCGCGCCACGTTCAGCCCAGCGCGAAGCGTGTCGCGTGGCGAACGCCCCAGCCGCCGCTGGCCTGGACCAGCCTTGAGAAACGAGTACAAATTCGTCTCATCTCATCGGTGGCCGTCTGATCTCTATGCATTTAGTGTCATTCCCGTTTGGGGCGCACGCGCGATTGACGGGACCAGGGTGCCCGCGCCGGAGGCCCGCCTCGGAGGACCGCGCCGGAGGACCGCCTCGGAGGACCGCGCCGGAGGACCGCACCTGGCGTCCTGGCCGGACACCACCCTTTGATCTCTGGACCGCGCCGGCGGGACGCGCACGTCGAGTTTGTATTTTTGTACATAGGCGGGGGCGGGGTGTTGCGCGGTCGGCTGAGCCCGCGGCGTCCGCCTCCGCTCTCGGCCGGCTCTGAGGCCGCCGAGGGCCGATCCTGGTTTGCGCACCTCCGACCAGCTGGCCCACCAAAGCCCCGGACGATCCGACTGACGACGCTCGTAACCATCGTTTTCCCATGACAGCTGTGCTAGGAAGCATTTATACTGCGTGCGTTTATAGGATAGATTTGTAGTTCAGAATAAAACCTAAAATAAAAACATGTGTTTGTATTTGGCACGGTGAGGTGTGAATGAGTGTTGTGACCGGAAAATATTGAACGACCATGTTGTCACCGCAAAACATTCCAACATTTCAACGAGGGCGTGCGAACGGTAACACCAGAATTCGCCAGTGAGTACGTGTATATTTGACATCCGAGAGGAACAAAGTTGGAAGGTTTGTCATACAGACAAGGACTGCGGAAAGTTGTTAGAAAGATGCGTTTCAATACCTCAGCACGCCTGCTCCGCTTCCCCCAGAGTCCTGTTCGGAGCCTCAGTTTCATTCGGCCTTCATCAACTCGTCTGGAGTTGCACGAAGATTGGGTTCGGACGCGATGAAGATAGCCCATTACGTGTTGAGTGGATGTATGCACATCTTCGTTATGTGAAGCAAAATCAATCCGGTGGCTTATATGCTTCCCACTGTTTAAACATCTACAACTTCATCACGGCCCTTTACAGATATTATCACATAGCCTGCTACTCCACCACTTCCTGGGTCTTCTGGAGCAATGCCGTCCATTATTACTGCTTGGAAGCATTTCTGAGTTACCGGTGCCAACGCATCTTAGACGACGGCGTACTCCACTTCAATGACTTCATCGTCGGCGACAGCGTGGCGGGGGCGGGCAGCAGCCACCCGACTCACCCGAGCCCCGTCGTCCCGTGGGGCAGCGTGGCGGGCAAGATTTCGACCAGTTGTCCAAAAACACGATGAGAAGGAACACAACCAAGAGGCCCATGTTAAGTGTTTGAGGGTACTTTTGCCAAGCCTCAAGCACGCACCTGGGCCAGTAGTCCAGACAGAAGCATGGCATAGCGCCCACAGATTTGCTCAATGTGGAAAATTACTCAGAAGATTTACAGAAAGCAAAAAAACAACCCAAAAATTTACGTAGTTCGACTACCGGTGATTTATTTTTGGTGAAATTGGATCAGTTGCGCAAAAAGCTCCGAGCGTGGTCAAAGCGCGTGATCAATTTTAGAGGGCACGCCTGGTTAAGAAATGCTTCCAAAAAGAATGTTCTTGCAGAACCTTCAAGCTGTGTACGTTACGTGATAGTGTCCCCCATTACCAACTGAGTGCGATAATTGCAGTGGAAACGTTTGCAGGTAATGCTCCCCATTTCGTGCGATCCCCAGCAGGAAGTCGACAGGGCTACATGTGGGGACAGCTTTTATGATGCAAAATTGCTCGGCAACATTGTAGAGATAAACTAGATGAGATGAATCATATATGAAGATTTGGCAAAGCTTCTTCACTTAAAGACTATGTACAACAGCATTGCTGCTCTCAACGTGTTTTATCACCCTAATAACTTCGTATGCGTGGACTAATGGTTAGGACTTTTCGCAATCCATAGCCTGCGCAAATAACGCCTGAAGCCTATCGTGAAGTGCCAGGTTTGTAGCTGAAGAGCGGAGTTACACTCGAGGGAACCTAGGGCCCCCGAGCCTTTTCGCAGGCAAAAATGTGGGCGCACCTACGTCAGATTGAGGCCCTTCTGTTTTGGGGTGTTGTTTCGTAAAATCAGTCGGAGGACTGAGCGGAAGAACTCTAAACACATCTTTAAATATGTTAAAAACGTGTTTATTCTCCAAGTTGGCTCAATTTCTTCTCGACCTTGGGTAGCTGGAGCCCCACACTAATCATAAAACTATACCGCTGCCCCTGTCACAGTATGTCCAGCGAGAGGTGCTAAGCCCAGGTGAAGCAGCGCTCCGAGCCCAGATGGAGGGGCGACACCAAGCCCAAGCGGGGAGGTTCCCTAAATCCAGACGGAAGGCGCCTGGAGCCCGGCTGGAGGGCGTCTTCCAATCCAGGGCAAAAATTCCCCCACGCTGGAGAGGAGAAGGCCCCGCGCTTCTGCAGATTCGTAACCCGTGGTGACGGGATGCTTTTGAGCCCACACAGGGAAGTATACCAAGCCTAGGTAGACGGACACGCCGGAGTCCGGCGAGAGAGAGAGAGAGAGAGAGAGAGAGAGAGAGAGAGAGAGAGAGAGAGAGAGAGAGAGAGAGAGAGAGAGAGAGAGAGAGAGAGAGAGAGAGAGAGAGAGAGAGAGAGAGAGAGAGAGAGAGAGAGAGAGAGAGAGAGAGAGGAGAGAGAGAGAGAGAGAGAGAGGAGAGAAGAGAGAGAGAGAGAGAGAGAGAGAGAGAGAGAGAGAGAGAGAGAGAAGAGAGAGAGAGAGAGAGAGAGAGAGAGAGAGAGAGAGAGAGAGAGAGAGAGAGAGGTAGAGCGGAGCACCTACTTTGGGAACAGGAGAGCACCAATGTCCTAGCAGAGGGACACCCGGGCCGAAGAAGGAAGGCGTCCAAAGCCTGCAGGTGGAAGGGAGCACCCGAGTCCTAAGCACATGTGCCCAAAATGTGCAAGCAGAGGGGACTCCCATGAACGCAGCATGAAGTCTGCAGAAACAGAGACGGCGACAAATGTACAGAAAAGAGCTGGAAAGTGCGTGTGAACGGCACGCAGAGCCCATCTAGACTCCATTCGTCCGTAAGAATATGGAAGCCGCAAGCTCGGGTACAGGGTCTCATCAAACCCATGTAGGTCAACTTCGCAGGTCAATTTTGAGGTAAAAATTGAGATGAGATTTAAGGCAGGTCGGTAGAGTGCTCGCTCAAGCTTGTGAGACGGGTGCCACAAACCGGGGCGCATTAGCTGCCATTGCGCGCTCCGAGTGCACCCCAAGCCGAAGTGAGCCCCCGGACCTAGCTGAGCGACGCCCTGCACCCAGGCGGAGAGCCCCGCATCAGCGCATCCCGAAGCCTGAAACACCATGGTAATGAGCCTAGGGAGAGACCTCTCAGCCAGCACGACTCCCCAGGCAGTGAGAGATGAGGGATCCACCAGGGCCCTGAGCCTAGGGAAAGACTTCTCAGCCAGCACGACTCCCCGGGCAGTGAGAGATGAGGGATCCACCAGGGTCCTGAGCCTAGGGAAAGACTTCTCAGCCAGCACGACTCCCCGGGCAGTGAGAGATGAGGGATCCACCAGGGTCCTGAGCCTAGGGAGAGACTTCTCAGCCAGCACGACTCCCCGGGCAGTGAGAGATGAGGAATCCACCAGGGTCCTGAGCCTAGGGAGAGACCTCTCAGCCAGTGCGACTCCCCGGGCAGCGAGAGATAAGGGATCCACCAGGGTCCTGAGACTAGGGAGAGATTTCTCAGCCAGCACGACTCCCCGGGCAGTGAGAGATGAGGGATTCACCAGGGTCCTCAGCCTAGGGAGAGACCTCTCAGCCAGTACGACTCCCCGGGCAGCGAGAGATAAGGGATCCAACAGAGTCCTGAAACTAGAGGGAGACTTCTCAGCCAGCACGACTCTCCGGGCAGCGAGAGATGAGGGATCCACCAGGGTCCTGAGTCTAGGGAAAGACCTCTCAACCGGGATGACTCCCCGGGCAGCAAGAGACCAGGGACGTTTGAGCGGTGATTCTGTAAGCCCATGTCGCTCACTGGAGGAAGAGGAACCTCTTCTCGACAGTGCTGGGTGCTGTCGCAGCTAAAGGCGTGAAGCGCGTCCCCACCATCGCTCGACATTAGCGCGCTGATGCTTGTCGCTTGCACGAGTCATAAAACCCCAGAACTATTAAACCAACAAAGCTGCCGCAAACATGTACACTAAAACCAATTTCAATTAACTGTATCAAATACAATATGGTAGAATCGACATTCTGAAACGAAAACAGGATTTACTACGGCAACTGTGCGATGATTCCTTACAGCTGTAATTATCAAAATGACGGAATCCAGCTTTGTATTCCATCTCGCCCGCTATTTAGACGCACACCAACAAACGAACTTGATAAGGCATATTGTATTTAACCCCACAGCAAAACGTGCAAAGCATGCATACACAGGAGACGCAGTGAGCCGAAAAGACGAAACCGTATATTCTTGAAACAAATGCGTGACGCAACGCACTGAGAGCGCTAGCAAAAATGAATATCGCGCAAACATATGGCCGCACACAGGCTCCAAAACGCAAATGGAAAACGGATTATTGACGCTTCATCTACTAAAATATCAACCCAAACCGTAAATAACTTGTCACTTTAACATACGATGCCAATTTGCTGGCACGTTTCAGCAGATAATGGATGATGAATGGATGCGAACTAAAGTTGTCTTCAAGATTTCGGCGACTTCGAGCAATTGACATATAGTTAATTTCAAAAACGTAACAACGTTATTACCTCTTCAGGACTAGGACAACATCACGCTTGGCGAAATTATCACAAATTCGGGAGTCCATGAGTGGCTGGACAATATCGCCATGATTCTCGCACGCGCCGATCACTAGTCACTTAGCGTGCAGGCTTCTACCGGGCGCTTTCCTGCCTTTATCACGAAGCCCGATCAGACTCATAGACTGTCGCTGCTACAGCGATCGCAATATTCTGGAGCGAATATCGTCAACAAGGGGGCGCGGCCTAAACAGCTGTGCATGCAGTTCAAGAAGATCTTGATAAATAAAGCCCGACATTTTATCACCTGGGACAAAACGAAACATAGCCAAAGAGGGCGACAGACCCCACAGTCATATCCATGCCTGATAACAAGTCATCCACCCACGCTGAGCGGAACAAAAGAACACCAACTGACGTTCACTCGGAACAAAGCAGGGTCGGCTCGCCACAGACCGGACACCACACGACGCACCACGCAAATGAACGGCGCGGTGAGCGCCTCCGCCCGACTAGCAGCACAGCAAGCAGCGGCAGGCCGTCACGCCGCGCGTCACGTGGGAGACGCCCCCAGACCGTGGGAGAAGCCGGCCGAGCAGACTGGCTCGGCTCTGGCCGGGAGGTGGAGAGTCTGCCGGTCATCCGGCGAGCAGGCCCCCAGCGAGGGAGGATGGCCGCCAGAGGGCACGGACTGGCCCGGCACTTCCATGTGACAACCAGAGGGGCTGGCTTAGGACTCCCATGTGATACCCGAGGGAGGGGCTGTCCAGAGGACGCCGGACTGGTCCGCTCTGAGGCGGCTCAGAAGCAGCTCAGAGACAGCTCAGAGAGGGCTCAGGGGTGGTTCAGAGGCTGCTTAGAGGCGGCTTAGGGACAGCGCGGCCACGTGCCGGACCGACGGCTAATGAGCAGCGTCAGCCGCGGCACACACACACGGACACGCACGGCCCCATGTGCACCACGCCCGGCTAGCGACGTCACACGCACACGCGGCGCACAGGCGCCACACAGCGCTGCCAGCCGGACCTCCGGCTCAGCCCGTAAGCTTGGCGACGGCTCCAGCAGCAGTCGGCCGCTGATGGAGTCGCCGCCAGCCGGTCTCTGCCGACAGGAGACACCAGCGGCGGTCGACCGCTGCTGGAGTCGCCGCCAGCCGGTCTCTGCCGACAGGAGACACCGGCAGCGGTCGACCGCTGCTGGAGCCGCCACCAGCCGGTCTCTGCCGACAGGAGACACCGGCAGCGGTCGACCGCTGCTGGAGCCGCCACCAGCCGGTCTCTGCCGACAGGAGGCGCCGGCAGCAGTCGACCGCTGCTGGAGCCCGCCGCCAGCCGGTCTCTGTCGACAGGAGACACCAGCCACTCGGCTGCGGCTGCCGACGCGCCGCGCTGACCGTCGCGGCAGCCGGTCTCTGTCGACAGGAGACACCAGCCACTCGGCTGCGGCTGCCGACGCGCCGCGCTGACCGTCGCGGCAGCCTGCTCCAGCGAGCGCACCACGCTGCACTGGACGACGCCGTGTGTAGTGCGCACAAAAGGCAAACAGCTGCCGAATAGTGAAGGCCGGCGGCGTGAGTTAGCGCGCGTAAACTACGTCCGAGCGGCGAGCTGGCGTACGTGAGCTTCACCAGAGCGTGCCTGTCGTCGTCAGCAGGTCTGGCCATCAAACTACAATGCAACTCTAACGTCTACATATCTGACTGCGTGCCGGGCGTACGTATGTGCTCAGCTGCATGCCGCCGCCACTACAGAGTTCCGTGCACTACATACTGCATCATCCACATCTAAGGCAGTGGATACCCGGCAAGGTACGGTGCAAAAGGCTGTCAGCGACCACGGACACGTGACGTGAACAGAAACCTATGACAGCACGAGACTATTTTCAGAAGAGAAGAGCGATGCCCAGCTCACTTCAAAACGGAGAAAGCGAGGTGGCCTTTCAGGGAAACTTTCAGGGAGAGAGCAGCTGTCAGTCATGCGACCCTCGGCCGCCCAGCCCCACAGCTGACGGAGCTGTCGAGCCGCGCGCACTGGCCGCTGGACAGAGCGGCCACAGCTAGACAGGCACCGGACAATCAGACAGCCTGACCACCTCAGGCGTTCAGCCTGCCCACCTCAGGCGTCCAGCCTGGCCACCTTGGGCGTCTAGCTTGGCCACCTCAGGCGTCCAGCTTGGCCAATTCATCGCGGTACACGGCCAGACTCTCAGCGTCAAAGAGCACGAAGAAGACGTCCTTGAGCGACGAGGACATGACGTTGACGAAGTAGTCGTGAATGGCGCGTAGGATGATGCGGGCCGCGTCCGCCTTCTCCAGACCACCCCTGACGGCCAGGCGCACGGGTGTGGGGTCAGACGGGGAGCGGCGGCGACGGTGGGCCAGGCGCCGCCCGGCCGTGCTCGCACAGCGCCAGTGGCCAGCCAACACAGCGGGGCTGGGTCGAGCGCGAGATCAGCTCGGCCACAGCTCAGTCCTACAACAGGCACTGCGAGAATCACGGCCGACCGCAGCCGCCGACCAGTGACTCTGATCGACGGAAATCGAACGGATAACGCGCTCGAGCATCACATTGCGACGACGGTGAGAGCTATGGGACTAGGCGTCGCACGAGACCCGGCCCGGCGAGGCCTGGTCAGCCCGACCAGCCGATCGGTCCGCAGCCAGCGCCACCTATACGACGCGACCGCCACCTATACGGCGTGACTCGAACCAGCCACCGGGGACTTACTTGCCGCTGCCGATGGACGGAAGCGCGATCGACTTGAGGTTCTTCTGGTCGGCCACGGCCAGACAGTTCTTGACGGACTTGGTCAGCTTGTCCCCGATGTTGGTGTCAGCTGTCGGGCGCAGCGCACCGTTAGCGGCACACCCCGCCACGGGCCGCCAGCTCAGACCGAGTGGGCGGCGCGAACCGCAGGCGGGCACGGACCGCTGCTTCAGCAACGGACGGCTCTGGGGCCTCACGGCAGACGCGATTACCGCGGACACCAAACGTCGTCAGAGACACAGAGACAGCGAGTCGGGGCCCAAAGTATCAGCGTCGCCAGTTAACACCTTCCCGGCCCACATCACACTCAATCCACAATCGAGCAACACCGTCGTGTCCTACGCCAAAATAACAAAGGAGCGGCGGCGGCACTCTGGGCTTGAGGCACCCGAGCGGACGTCAAGAGCCAGCCACGCGACCGGCACGGGGGAGGCGCGGCTCGAGACACCGGTCCCCACTCACTGTGGGTGGGCCCGTTGACGTGGATGATCCAGTTGGCCGGCACGTTATTGGTGGGAGAGAGCGTCGCTGGAAAGAGCACGGCATGTCACTGGTAAGAAGGCGCATCACTGGAAACAGAGGGTAGCTTGCATCTGGTGGGAAGGAGCGTCGCCGGAAACAGAGGGTAGCTTGCATCTCGTGGGAAGGAGCGCCGCTGGAAACAGAGGGTAGCTTGCAGCTGGTGGGAAGGAGCGCCGCTGGAAACTGAGGGTAGCTTGCATCTGGTGGGAAGGAGCGTCGCTGGAAACAGAGGGTAGCTTGCATCTGGTGGGACAGAGCGTCGCTGGAAACAGAGGGTAGCTTGCATCTGGTGGGAAGGAGCGTCGCTGGAAACAGATGGTGACACGTAACTGGGTCTGGACTCTGCATGCTACGAAAAGCTACCTATCCAGGCCTCAACGGATGGTCGTTTGCTCAGCTGCTGCCTGATATGGGCGAACAAAAGGCGTGGCATCCGCCTCCAACGTGGCGTGGCGCACGGAGGTGACGCGGTACCCGCACACGAAACAGCTGGGGCCGGCCTCCCCAGTATGGCGCGCGAGAGGCTGACCGAAGGCCTAGGAGATCCAGCGATAGTCACAGCATGACCAAGACGGTGGGGAATAAAGCTCTGACTGGCCAGGGCCATGGTGGTTAGACTGGGTCCTGGCAAATCAGAAGGCAGGACATGCATCAGACATCCCGCAGGCATGCAAGCGAGAAGAGAAGGGTGCGCATGATCCTAACCATGCGTTCGCTGAGCTCCAGCGAGGAAGCAGGGCTGAGAACAGTGCGGACCTCCGCAGGGCGCCAGGGGGCCAGGGTGCCGACGAAGCCAGAGGGAGGAGGCGAGCGGGAGGGCCGCAGGTGGTGCGTACCTCCGCAGGGCGCCAGGGGGCCCCGGCTCCAAGGGAGCCAGACGGAGGAGGCAAATACGGCCGCGGGCGGTGCGTACCTCCGCAGGGCGCCAAGGGGCCCCGGCTCCATGGGAGCCAGAGGGAGGAGGCGAACAGGGCCGCGGGGGGGGGGGGAGGGGCGTACCTCCGCAGGGTGCCAGAGGGCCGTGGCTCTTGCGCAGCTCCTCGAGGGCGCGTCGTAGCCGGGGTCCCTCGACGGCCTCCAGCGCGGCGCCCACCTGCCCCGCCAGAGCGAAGCCGGACGCGGTCGGGTGCACCACCGCCTGCACGCTCGCCATCGCGATGTCGCCGCTCACCACGTGCAGCTGCCGGCGGCCAGGGGCGCGGTGGTCAGCGGCGACGCACCGGGCGGCGGCGCGAGGCACGGGCCGCCGGCACAGGGGAGACGCGGCGGTGGTCAGTGGCGGCGCGCGGCACAGACCGGCACAGGGGGAGACGCGGCGGTGGTCAGCAGCGACGCACCGGGCGGCGGCGCGAGGCACAGACCGGCACAGGGGAGACGCGGCGGTCGGTGGTCAGCGGCGACGCACCGGGCGGCGGCGCGCGGCATCGACCGGCCCTCCTCGAGAATGCAGCACGGTATGACGTAGCCTAAGGAACTTGGTCAAGAAAGTCCTGCCGTAGCAGCTGTTTAGGCCCGGGGGCACGTTATTACCCCGTCTGCAGCCCCCTCACCGTCTGGCCGAGGAACAGCTTCTTCTCCGAGAGCGGGGCGAGATTGGCGTTAGGCTTGGCTCGCCTGCCGGCCGCTGTAACCGAGGACATATAGACATAGGTCCTCCGGCGGCTTTTACACAGCACGACAGGAACGACAGGGTCACGAGTGTCACCGCTGACCCACATCGCACACAGCTGGCGGGTGAACATTGGGAAATGGCAAATTCCTCGGGAAAGCACACATCATTTGGACAACCTTTCCGACCACCAAGAAGCAGCCGCTCATTCACATCACCACAAAAAGTTGTTAGGTCCGTAAAAAGCAGCACATGAAACCTGCGTCAAGCTAAAACAAAGCAGTGAACAGCGCTAGAGATTGCTGTCGGCAGCCCCGTGGCGGACGGTGACCACGTGAGCAGGGGCGGTCAGGCACGTGAACAGGGACGGTCCGACAAGGCAGAGGCGACGGCGCCGACCTTTCTTGGGCGGGGCGCGTGGGGTGGGCGCCACCACGCCGACTTTCTTCTGCGCGGCGGTGGCGGAGCCTGACTGAGACGTGGACGCCGTTACCGCTGTGGGCACACACATCATACAGTGAGCGCTGGGAGAGACACGGCAGCGGGCACACATATCACACGGTGAGCGCTGGGAGAGACACGGCAGCGGGCACACATATCACACGGTGAGCGCTGGGAGAGACACGGCTGCGGGCACACATATCACACGGTGAGCGCTGGGAGAGACACGGCTGCGGGCACACATATCACACGGTGAGCGCTGGGAGGGACACGGCTGCGGGCACACATATCACACGGTGAGCGCTGGGAGGGACACGGCTGCGGACATACACATCATACGGTGAGCGTTGGGAGAGACGCGGCTGCGGGCACACATATCACACGGTGAGCGCTGGGAGGGACACGGCTGCGGGCACACACACCATACGGTGAGCGTTGGGAGAGACGCGGCTGATGCGGCGAGCTACACCGCCGGCGGACAGGCGTCAGTGGTGTCAGAACAGAGACCACATCACGACAGGAGAGATTGTACAAAAGTAATCGCACCACAGCTAGACACCAGAAGTACGAAACAAAAGATATTATTTTCTGTCCTTTTATTTTCTTGTTTTAGATTCCAGCTGTATTGCAACTTGTTGCGCCTTTCTTCCGCAGCCTTGTTACCGTAATTAAAATACAGTCCCTTCACATGTGCTCAAGCAAACATATTCTCAAAAGAACCTAATTGAAACATGTATGACCCATTTTTATCGTAGCACCTGGATATTCACTGATATCAGCATTACTTATTCGGATCTTTTGAATCATAATCAAAATAATAAGAGGTAGATGAAATGTCAATGTATTTCGCTGTCAAGCTTCTCCAGGAGTCAAGTCCTCGAGAATTCTGTTAAGCTGCAAAGCAAAGCTTATTGGCCCTCTTTTTCGGCATTATTTCTATGACATGAATATAGGCTAATGAACCTACCTGACAATGGCATCAGTATTCCAATCATACGCGACTACTTGTCACAAATCCCATGAAATTGGAGACGTGCAACTGACATGTAGACGACCCGTTGGACAAAACCACAAACCGGAAATCACATCTGCAAAACAGCAATCTACAACCACAAAACCATTAACCACAATCGTGGAACGGGAGACCAAAACCGCAAAACCGTAAATCACAACCTCAGAACCGCAAACCACAACCGCACCTCCTGCATGTCCATTCAAGCAACAGGATATGCAGTCGAGCATGGTTGAGCCTGATTGGCTGCCCTGGCAGACCGCTGGGAGTGAGCACCACCAGCACCGACAGCTGGGAGTCAGCCCTCATCATCAGCAGCAGGGAGCCAGCCCTCAGCACCGGCAGCTGGGGGCCAGCCCTCAGCATCGGCAGCTGGGGGCCAGCCCTCAGCACCGGCAGCTGGGAGCCAGCCCTTAGCAGCGGCAGCTGGGAGCCAGCCCTCAGCACCGGCAGCTGGGAGCCAGCCCTTAGCACCGGCAGCTGGGAGCCAGCCCTCAGCACCGGCAGCCGGGAGCCAGCCCTCGGCATCGGCAGCTGGGGGCCAGCCCTCAGCACCGGCAGCTGGGAGCCAGCCCTCAGCACCGGCAGCTGGGAGGCAGCCGGCGGCGCGGCGGCGGCTGACACTCACCCGGCATGGAGGCCGTGTCGCCCCGCTTCACAAGCAGCGACGGGTGAATACGGGGTAGTACGCCGCCCTGGGGAATGGTCACCCCGCGCAAGAACTGCAACACACACGGACCTTTGTCAATACGGAGAACCACCGTGGTGTGCTGAGACAGAGACGGCGACAGACACGCACATGTATCGACAGGAATAGCGGGAGGCGACACACACTACGCACGACAGGCCCATAACAGGACTGGCACACTACAGAAGGAAACGTGCTGGAAGAGTCCCCCATAGTCACTGCACTGTATTGAGGAACTACGTAAGACGCGGACCGACTATTCCAGTCCAGGAGGCGACATGATGAACACATCCGACACGACTGCAAGCCGTGTGTATGGCGCTAACGCCGTGTGACATGACTAGCCACGGATCTCTTTGCTGCCATAAGCACGCACTGGGCCAAGTCACAGGGTATGCCTGCCAGCTGATGGTAGCACATTCCACGCACCGACCGCGCGATGGGAATAGTTGGGCTGCAGGGGTTGCAATGGACACTGAAATTGTGTCAACACGTCCGAAGCAACACGCTGTGTATTCGTATCATGGAAGCTCAAACTCCCTACGGTTAGACAGCCGTTGACCCACACTTGCGCGCACACCATACGGCCCCGGGAGTGGGTGTGGGACAGAGGGCTGCATCAAGCGGACACATAGCCATACAGCTCGCATACAGCCCCGGGAGTGGGTGTGGGACAGAGGGCTGCATCAAGCGGACACATAGCCATACAGCTCGCATACAGCCCCGGGAGTGGGTGTGGGACAGAGGGCTGCATCAAGCGGACACATAGCCATACAGCTCGCATACAGCCCCGGGAGTGGGTGTGGGACAGAGGGCTGCATCAAGCGGACACATAGCCATACAGCTCGCATACAGCCCCGGGAGTGGGTGTGGGACAGAGGGCTGCATCAAGCGGACACATAGCCATACAGCTCGCATACAGCCCCGGGAGTGGGTGTGGGACAGAGGGCTGCATCAAGCGGACACATAGCCATACAGCTCGCATACAGCCCCGGGAGTGGGTGTGGGACAGAGGGCTGCATCAAGCGGACACAGCCCTGCAGCTCGCATAAAATGAACGCAACACGCCTGGATAAACAGCACAGCAAAGAACCAGCACAGAGCCGAGTGCAAAGCCGCAAGGTCCAGACTGCTCTGCCGGCCGTGTATAGCCCCTCGTACTCACAGACAGCTCCACCGGCCGTGTGTAGCCCTCATCCTCTCAGACAGCACCACTGGCCGTGTGTAGCCCTCGTCCTCCCAGACAGCTCCCCAGACAGCACCACTGGCCGTGTGTAGCCCCTCGGCCTCCCAGACAGCTCCCCAGACAGCACCACTGGCCGTGTGTAGCCCTCGTCCTCCCAGACAGCTCCCCAGACAGCACCACTGACCGTGTGTAGCCCCTCGGCCTCCCAGACAGCACCACTGGCCGTGTGTAGCCCTCGTCCTCCCAGACAGCTCCACTGGCCGTGCGTAGCCCCTCGCCCTCCCAGACCGCTCCACCGGCCATGTGCAGCTCCTACCCCCTCCCAGCCACCCCACTAACCGTGTGCAGGCCCCTCACCATGCCAGCCCCTAGGCAGCCACAAGACTGACCTTGTGCAGCTCCTCGTCGTTGGCGATGGCCAGCAGCAGGTGCCGGGGCGTGATGCGACTCTTCCTGTTGTCGCGAGCGGCGTTCCCGGCCAGCTCCAGCAGCTCGGCTGCTCGACACGCCACCCACAGACACACATACTCAGTCAATCGCTGGCAGCGGCTGACACACCACGGACACACACACTCGGTCAAGCGCTGGCAGCGGCTGACACACCACGGGCACACACACTCAGTCCAGCGCCGGCAGCGGCTGACACACCACGGACACTCAGCTCAGCGCCGGCAGCGGCTGACACCGCCACACACACACTCAGTCCAGCGCCGGCAGCGACTGGTACAACATGGACATACACACTCAGTCCAGCGCCGGCAGCGGCTGACACACCACACTCAGTCCGGCGCCGGTAGCGGCTGACACACCACACTCAGTCCGGCGGCGGCAGCGGCTGGTACCGCGCCGCAACACCCACACGCCTGTAAACATGTATAGAATGGAAAGCCGATGTGATAAACCTACAGACACTGCCACACAGGTGGTGGCGGTGGGTGCGCTGGGGCTTCAAACGGCGACACTCTTAAACAACATGCGATAAACCAGTAGCCCCATGAACAGAATCGGTCCGGGCAAGGTGAATGTTTGAAAGCGATCACATTTCAAATGGGGCTCAAACTTCAGCGACTCTTCACCAGACATTAGCGACTCACGGTTCAGACCCGGCGTTGCAACAAACGCCGGAGAGCGTGCGCGACAGGACACGAATGGCGGCACCAGGACTAAAAGCTTTGAGCCCCCCTCACCATGGGTGCACACCCCGACCAGAAGGGGCATACGCCCTGGGATGAAGTGTGTGACACACATGTTCCACTCAACCCTAGAACAACAGAAAAGGAGCAGGTGCCAGACCGACCAACTGGCCACATCACCGGTGTCTGAGCCCACTAACGCCCTGCACCCTCCCTCCCCCTCCGTCCACACGCCATGCCGCGTCCCAGCCGGGCCTCGCTGCTCACCGCTGAGGTACTCCATGACAGCGGCCGTGTAGACGGGCGCGCCGGCGCCCACGCGCCTCAGGCGGCGCTCGCCGGCGCGCAGGTACCGGTGGATGCGGCCTACCGGGAACTGGAGGCCGGCGCGAGCCGACCGCGACGCCGGCCGACGCCGCTTCTTGCCGGTGCGGCCGGTGCTCATGGTGACGCCGGTGTGCGTCAGCCGGGTGCAGAGCTCGCCGCCGAGGCCGAGAGGCGCGCAGTCGAGTCTCAGCTCACTGCAACCAGTGCCTGATCATGAGGTGGCCAAGCTAAACAAAAAAACACAGGGTTGTTGACAGAGGGTTGCCAAGATGGGGCACTGATAGGTGCACATGCCCTTCTCACCTTTTCACCTTCTCATGATAGCATTGAAGGAACAAACTGTTCATTGCCTGACTCTGGGTCAGACTTTTCAACTGTCCCAGCATTCTGATGTCACTCAGGACCCAGCTGATGTCTGGCTGTTTGCATGGTGGGATCCACAATCAGAAAGCTCACACATCCTGCATGAACTATCCTGGCCCATCTGTTATAAAAAACATAATAGCAAAGCACGAACTACAGCATGTGTGTTGCATCAATAAAATGAATTTCCTCACTGATTGATCAAGTTTTAGTAAAAACCACAGGTCAACACAATGCCCACTGATAGTTGGCACTTAATGTTCATCTATCAAAATCAGTTAATTGACTTTAAGTTGTGGACCAGAGCTTGTATATTGCTTCTTGTTCATGTACTGAAAAAATTGCACATAGCAACCATACTTTTGGCTGATCACATTTCACCGGAATCAAGCATAAATCTGGTTGACTCACGATGTATGTTTTTCAATTCAACAATGCCTCCAAAACAGCATATCATGACTGACTCATTGCACAACATGGAGTCAAGTGAGTCATGCAAAATTTTGCCAAGTCCTTTAACCTAGCTCCCCAAGGCATGCTATTTTAACTCATCAACTCTGGATCATGATTATGAATTCAGAGTAGCTAATTCTATCCTAGCATAACAGAGCTTGCATTATGCTCTGTATTGCTATTCTCTGCATGAGGCACAGGAGGGCATCTAGGTAGGGTCCACATGCTTTCAGATTTTCACCATGCAGTCCTTAATCATATGACACTCTGGAAAGCCAGACTATCATATGACTAAAAAGTAATAAGTACTAACTAGAGAGGTGTTGAATCACACACATGACTGCAGCACAATGAAGTTTTTAGTAGCATAACCTTTGTTTGGTTGTATGTCTAGTTTGGCCATTTGACAACTGGGAGGCATATGTCCTTAATGCCACCAACCTTGACCTGGCCAACTTGCTCCATTGAAACCTTTGCTCTCCGCATTTATTGACTGATATAGGATGCAGACACACAAGGCTTCCTCTCTTGCTCCAGCTCTACTGCCAACTGCATCAAGGAAGGATCCATGATGCCTTGGCAGGTGGGTGGGGGGGGGGGGGGACTGGCGTAAGAAGAGGTTCATTGTTCATATAGGTACCTAGGTTTCTGATTTTCAAGAGCTTATCATATGACATAAACTGGTGTAAGAAGGCTGGGCAGTAAAATAACAAAACCCACCCCAAAATGTGCCAATTAACAGGCTTCTTGCCAGACTTGGTGCTTTCTTCTTGAGATAGCAGGGAGGGGGGGGGGGGGGTGAAGTCACCAAAGCCCCAGTAAAATACAGGGATCTACAAAGGTGCTTGAGTTTGTTTAAAAGTCCAGAAACTCTCATTTTTGCCCAACTTCAGCCATGTGAAGGGGGCTTTGCTTCCTGGGTCCAGCCTTGGACTGCACCTTGCATGTAGGTATCCAAACATTGAGAAGTACATGAATAGGTGTGTCACATAACATGCATTATAAAACGCAGCAACATACCAGATTCCACCAGTCCTATCCAAACCTGCATTTTCGACGGCACGCACGTAGGCGAAACACGCCGCATATAAGGTAAGACATAAAGGTCATAACTGGTACGGGTGCCTTTCCAATTCCCACCACACCACACCAAACCCCAAACCAGTGACAACCGCTCCTTCATACACAAGGTGCCACTTCGTTGTGCTTATAGATATGCACAGCCGCACATCATACATACCAAACGTAACGCTAAATTTCAGGTACAGCCGACCACCGAGGTAAGAATGCACACACACACCCCCCCACACACAGACACACACCGACTCCGACAGGCCGGAGCTTGTGATGACGGTTGCCAGGTTCCGAACGGCACCGAGCTTTTTCGCCAAGCTGCCAGGCTCGCACAGAAAGTCGCCAGTTTTATGACCATTGGGCGTCCATGATCGCCAGGGCCGCCGTTACGGAGGGGAAGTGGTTTTGATGGAGCGAAACTGAAGCATAAGAAGGGGGGAAAGCGAGCCGTTACGCTCTATGTAGATGACGTCCGGGGATGCGGGCGGCCTGCCTGCCTTGACCACTGCGGCCTGCCTCTGACCCCGGCCGGCCAAGTGACCGCCGCCGCCGGTCCCTGGGCCGGATGCCCGCGAAATTGGCGATTTCTTCAGCGGTGTATTTAGTAATGAGTTCCGATCTCTGAAAATACGTCAGCTGGCCCCTTATGACACGAGAACATCTACAGTGACCGTTATTTTCCAATATCGTGTGACTTACAAGGTCAACTTCAAGACCGGCTTCAAATTTTCAAGCGCCTGAATAGTCATCGAAGGAGGAGCTAGCGTCCACCGTAAACTGACCTGCCAAGGTCACATTTCAAGGTCAAATCCACGCCCAAATGACGGGGAACTCTATGTTTCACCAAAAAAGGGCGGCAGGTCTCAAGTTTTTAGCGGAAAAAATATTCTCCAAAATAGGAGCTAACGTCAATAAAAATTTCCTGAAACTCAAGGTGACCTTTCAAGACGAGAATTGCAGCCTCAAAGTACGTAGAACTCCGTACCCGGCCAGCATTCCCAGATGGAACCAACATGGGCTAAGCGTGTGGCAACTGGGTTAATGAGGGCATGTGCTACAGGTGGGCTTTTAATTGAGCTCCAGCTGGGTCCCGCATTGGGTGCCCACAGCATCTCATATTTTTGCATGCACCAGAACTGTTCTTATCTTGTACTGTTCTGTCGGACCGAATCACGTTAATGAGAAACAACTCACCAGGAGGCAATGCTTGCATTGGTGGGATCCATGTGGGCCATATGTGGGCAAGCTGGGCCCATGTCAACATGGGCTGCCGGTGGGCTGTTATCTAGGCTTAATCTGGGGCCCAGACGAGCTGCCCGTATGTTACATACGCAATCAAACTGTCACACACACAATGTTGATGTATATACCAATCGTTTTTATTGTCTGGGTTTTACCGTATCGTGTACAATGATTCTAAAGCATGGGACTGCTGCCTGGACTGGGGTCCATATGGGCTGAGCACAGGCTAACTGGGCTCATGTTCATGTAGGTCGCGGGTGGGCTGGTATGTGGGCTCCATCTGGCACCCAGATGGGTTTTCCATGCGCTACTATATTTGGTCCAGGTGCATCAGGTTTGTTGCCTTATGCTCCCGCGCTGGATTTTTCCTTAGCATGTACAAATGAGTATAGAACAAAGGAGAACAGCGCGGCTTGGGTCTCATATGGGATGTATGTGGGTAAGTTGGGCCCATGTCAACATGGGCCGCAAATGAGCTTTGTGCTCCATGTTGGGCCCAGATGGGCTGTTCATATGTTACATACGCAAAAAACTGCCATATACAAAATTATGTGTACATCACTTGTACTGTGACAACTGCCAAACTGTGGTTTATTCAGGAAGTATTACGCCGTCGAGCCAGACACCCATTCTGCAACACATGCAGGGAACTTGTTAGCTGGCAACTAGCCATACACCATCTGCAGCCCTGGGAGCTAGCATAAGAGCATGCAGCATGCAGCAACGAGAGCGTCCACGACCACATGCACCAAGCAACCACCATGCAGGCCACTACCGCATGTGACACCAACAGTACATGCGCAATCACCAAGGCATGCACATGCGACACGTCACAGTATTTATTGTCTTGAGGTCTTACCATATCGTGCATAATAGTTTTACGTGTGCCATCTCCATGCTCACATCCACGTAGGTTGCGGGTGGGCTGGTATTTTGGCCCCACCTGGGACCCAGATGGGCAGCCCATGCGCTACCATATTTAGTACATGTGCATTAGGTCTGCTACCTTGTGCTCCCACCTTGGATTTTTCCTTATCGTGTACAAAAAGGAGGGCAGCACGAGCGGGGGCTCACATGGGATGCATGGCGACGAGTCGGGCTCATGTCAACATGGACTGCAGGTGGGCTGGTCTTCGGGCTGCATATCGGGCCTAGATGGGCTGCCGATATGCTGACATCTTTTACATTAGTTTTAGTTTAGTACATTAGCTTTCGGACCTTGCTCTCCATGGCTGGATATTTTCTGATCGTGTGCAAGCTAGTTTGCAACAAGGGTGAGCGACTTAGACTCGGATCCAAATGGGCCGCAGGTGGGTAAGCTGGCCACGTGCCAGCACGGGATGCAAGCGGGCTGGTGTCTGGGCCCCATCTGGAACCCAGATTGGCTGCCCATATGCCATCATATTGACTATGCGCGCAATCATTTTCGTACCGTGGGCTTCCTGGTTCGGTTTTACCATGCCACGTACCAACAAGACAGACTGCTGGAATGGATCTGATCCGCATGGACTGCGCATGGGCAAACTTAGCTCAGGTCAACACTGACCTGGGTTCTCGCATGACCGACCCGCCGCCGGCTGGCTAGGCGGGCCGGCTGGACAGGCTGGCTGGCCAGGTGGGCCGGCAGCACCGAGCACACCGCCAGCCCGCTGTCTTCTATAACCTTGGTCGGAGTTTCTGGCGGTTGCACGCAACTGATCAGATGCAGATTCTTTCAGCTGCTTGGTGTTCAAGGAACACAGACCCTGAGGGTCATGTTCGGACTTATCGGCAGTTTTAGCGTCAGAAGTCCGACATGGGCGACTCGACGCAATTACTTTACTATTTGGAATAGCAATGTTCCAGTTACCAACCGTCTGTAAAGATTTTCAACATGTGGAGAGTTGTTGTCCGTCCATGACATTGGTGGTTGGATAGTGCGATTGGCTAGTCAGCTCTTGACAGTATTCGATTGGACGTTGTGTCTCCTCAATGTAATAAGCCTGGAACCAGTACTACCAGCTGACAAAGGCTGCCTGATCATTTAGTTCCTTGCGATTTAACTGAACCACCGGCTTTTACGAGCTAGCCGATATATTTGTATGCAAAGACATTTGTAAGCCAGGAAAGTATTCGGATGCTGCATCGTATTCGTCGTTTCAACTTCGCCTCAAACTCGCCGTCGAAGCCAAATCGTCGCCTAACATCTGTGACAATCGCTTTTTTCAAGCCTGTCCTGTTTTAGGCGTGTTTATGTACAATTCCCCTTCACGCGGCTTTCATTCCCATGTGTATTACGTTATCTACGCTATGAACATTTCTTGAGCATTATAAAGAACATTAAAGTTCGGAATTTGTCCAGCGCAGCTCTGAGGAACATTGTGCATGCATGAGATAGTGTTGATAGCCTTATTCCTCGTCAAATAACCTGGAGAAAGGAAAAAAAGATGCATTAAAATTTCGTAGTGCATTCACCAGCAATAAAGAACGCACTGAGGTTGAAATCCAGAAAGGTACAGAACCTGTAACCTTTTTAAAATTTAGTCTACACAGAGCACAGGACCATCCGGAAAGGAAAATTAGTGAGCCCATTGTCAAAAGGTCGGCGACTAGACCTAAACATACAGGGCTCATCATGGCCTATTATGCAAATGTGATTAGTGCCTTAATGTGCGATGCGTGCCAGCTTGAATTGTTGTAATATATGAGTGATGCATGATAGGTACGTGGTGCGTGATGTCCGTATTTTGATGGAACAAACTATGTCCCTAAGAAGCTCAGATGCATGAATATTTGCGCACAAACACATGGCTATCATTAAAGCTTTACATGACAAGGTGTCAATACTTACAACGATTTTCACCGCTGAAGAGACCGGCCATCAAACAACTTATACGACTCTTCCTATGAACTTTTCCGCCCAGAATATGTTCGGTATTATAAATTCCCGGCGAATATTTTGTCACACAAGCTGTATCTTTTGTAGCTTTTTGTATGATTAACTTTGTGTATGACGAGATCTTTAGCATGCCTGTTATTTTACTGTACTTGAGCATACAAACTTCATGTCAAGCAAAATTGCCGCGCGATTTTTTCTATGCGTACTTTTGCCCTTGATAGAAATATTGACACAACCACCAGATGACACCCGAGGGGTGTTGTTTCTGCTCACGGACAAAAGTACGTAGAAAAAAGGCCGAGTGACAACTGCTTGCAAGTTATAAGTTTGCACACGGAAAATTCGTTAAGATAGGTTGCGTACGGTATCAGTTCCGTAATGCGAAATATCGTTACGTAAAAAACTTAATTGGCAAAACAGAAGCCTGAAAAAATGCAGCACGATACTGTTTGCATCGTAAACGTTCCTATGGATAAGACCGTTTGTTCGTTTGCCAAGGATGAAGCTTGTCTAGAAAACTCTCTGCAGCTAAGTTTTTTGCAGACGTATGATGTGGATACACAAACATTCGTCCTCGTTGTTTCCTTTTTAGTTGAATGTTCTTCATCGACAAAGTCAGTTTGGCACTAATGCGCACATAAATTTGGAATTCAGATGTCTGATGTGTGCATGATCATGTTCAGGTAAAACAGTCACCAAGGAATGTCTGAGATCAGCTGGTTATTTGTTGACTACATATGATTAACAAATAACCAGCTGATATCAGATCTATAAGTGCCGAAATAACACTTAGCGCATGAACTAGCGTCCGTCAAAAAGTTCTGACGGCTCAAGGTCACCTTTCCTGGTCAAATGCAAGGTTGAAGGACGGGGGACTCCATATCACCAAAAATTCTGGCCGATTGCAAGTTTTTAAGCATTAGAATATTCACAAGCACAAGCACTAGCGTCCGTCAAAAAGATATTGAGTTTCAGAAGCTTTGGAGGGAAGCCAGTTCCCTTAATGGCGAATGCTCTGGTGCTTGAAAATTGGAAATCGGCCGGTAGTTCTTTGCTGATATTGTGTTCCCCCACCCTTTAAGCGTGAATCTGACTTTGAAATGTGGCCTTGAGTGGTCAGGACGGTTTGACAGACGC